TATTCTTTTGATTTAATTACAATATATATATACTGACTAGATATGCAATGTCCTGCAACTGATAATAAATAATTAATGATGCATTTGTTGATCAAATAAAATTTGTCTTCTTAAAAGAAATATTAATCAAAGAAGAAAAGAAAATACAGATCCCAATAAAAGAAATACGTAAGTGTTTAAAGGATGTGGTTGTTACAACTTGATGTCACTCTAGTTAAATATTTATAAACTTAAATTTTTTTTATTAGAACTGATGATGAATTTGGTGATGATGAATAGATCCAGAAGTTTGATGAGGTGTCATCTTCTGAGAAAGCTTGCTTTGCTTTTCAAACTAATTAACTGATGCACATCAGAAATATTAAATTTATTAAAAAGAGTTTTGATCAGAGAGGAGGAGAATTAGATAAAGTTACTACTCTTTTTGGATTTTTGGAGGCATTTTATTTAGAAGCAATAAAAGAATAAAATATTTAATGAGATGAGTGCGAGTGCAAAAATTAGATGGTTGGATATCTAAGAATATATATTATTTTTAATTTGGGGCATGCTGCAACAAAGTGAACATTTATATTACCAAGAATTTCAGGGATCAAAATTTGTAATGTGATTATTAAAATCTCCCATTTGTTTGTTATCTTTGTTTTTTCCTTAATATCAAATGATATAAAATTACTCCTATATAAAAATAATTAATGTGAAAATCATTTATATCAGGTCTACTATAGAACTCAAGAATTATAGTACTATCAGAAGTATTTTAAAAGAGGAACAAGGTGAAAAAATTGCTCCTTACATTTTCAAAATAAATGATACTCAGACAATTGAAGCTTATCTAAGAAAAGAAAGGATTACCTATGAAATTTATCAAGAAGAAAGAAAATAATAAACATCAGGAAAAGAAATCAGAATGAAGGTGTGCTATTACCTAACAAAAAATAGAAATCCTTAGAAGGAAAAAAATGAAGTCTTATGATTGAACAATTAATCTACCTTTTCCTTTTAATTCTTTTAGTAACATAAATCATAGCAATTATAAAAACCTAAGATTAAAGTTATACCTGCTATTCATAATCCAATAGATTTACCATCAAAATTTTCTTCATTCTTTGAAATATTATTTTTATATTCCTCTGGATCTTTGGCAAAATCTTCATCTTTTAAATCACTCACAGTAGTTTTAGCATGGTAAATATTAGGACCTTGTAGTTCTTTGCAACACTTGTAGTCAGGCATTACATAAATTTTTTCAGGCTGGTTAACAAAAACCTTACTAGTTTCCAAAATTATTCTAGGACTATCATCAATAAAGATGTCAAAATCAGAATATTTTTTCTTTATGTAATCAGGGCGGTCAGGTTTTTTTACACCATTGACATCCTTGAATTTTACTATACCTAATTTACAATATCAATCAATAGACATAAAAGAATTTTGGCTATTGAGTTAAAGTGTTCAAATAATTTCAGATATAATCTCAGCAACTATGAAAAACTATTTCTAAAATTTCGGAATTGGCAACAATTACCTATTAAGAGAGTCAATTTCAACTAACATGTAGTCTACACTAATTGTTTATTGGAGTTTTGGCAGTCACCAAGAGGTTTTAGCAAGCAACCTTAATGTGATGAAGGGGATTCATTTTATAAGGTATCCATTAAGGAATTTCAGAAAACCAAAATGTCTAGAGTAATAAAAAATTTTTAGAACAAAACCCTCCTAAACCTCCTCCTAAACCTCCTTCTCAACTCCCTCGCCTTCAACCACATTGCCTGGTTTGTCCTCATAAGCCCCTCATTCTCCCTCAACCTTTACAATTTATCCTATTTCTAATCAAATGTTCCATCCTCCCTAATTCCCCAGGGTGATTTAAACCCCTTCCACACCTCCCCTATATCAACGATCCCATCATTTTCTTCATCACCATCTTCATCCTCCTCACCCTCACCCTCATCACCACCATCACTATCTTCTGCCATCACCACCTCTAGCACCTCATCATCCTCATTATTATCACCATCATCTCCTCCACTGCCTCCACCTCACCCACTTCATCCTCTTCACTATCCTCTTCATTCTCCTCCTCTCTGATCAAAACTCTTTTTAATAAATTTAATATTTCTGATGTGCATCAGTTAATTAGTTTGAAAAGCAAAGCAAGCTTTCTCAGAAGATGACACCTCATCAAACTTCTGGATCTATTCATCATCACCAAATTCATCATCAGTTCTAATAAAAAAAAATCAAGTTTATAACTAGAACAAGAACGACGACGAGTGGCGACAACCACCATCATCCTTAAAACACTTACCCTTCTCTTTTATCACGATCATTGCCTTTGGTTCTTTTTTTTGAATATTTTTTTGATGACATGATTTTAAAAGAATAAAAAGAAATTTGTGAATTGATCAACATGCACACATTAATTATAAACAAAAAACAATTTATTTTTTGACAGAGTCCAAGGTGACAAAACATGAGTGTTGTTGTTTGGTTCTCCTAAAGAAACGTGTTAATAACTAACCAGAGGTACTTTTTTTTACTTTTATTGATATAATGTGGTGACTTTTATTTTATATAAAATATTTTAATTGGAATCAAAACGCGGAACAGATCTTGCTGGGGTATTTACAAAATTTTCACTGATAATATTTTGCTCTTCGTAATCAATAATAAATATTAATTATAATATTATAATTACAAGATGTCAAGGCAGCACATTGTTGAAAAAGAAAAAAATTCGAAATGCAATGTTTGATTATCGGAAATTGGCAAGTGTCAAGACACGCATGCTTGCTACCTTGAACACTTTACAGCCATTCTCACACATTCCTCATGTACATAAGGCTAATCTGACCACGGTGCTCTCGATGATACAATGATGCAACCGAATTGCAGAGGGGGGGGGCAAGGCTCTGGAGTTTACCAAGGCTGCATCAATTGCCAATGACACTTCTACTAATCTTCCCTCACCAGAGAAGGCTGCTGGCATGCTAGCCAAAGAGTTGCTTGCAATGATCCCACCTCTAGGGTAAGGGTGGCTCTGTGTCCAAGTTGCAACTCTGCAGATGAATTGTAATATTAGGTGCGCATAAACATCCAGATCCATCAAAGCAACGAGAATCTGCAGCTTGTTTCAAGCACCAGGAGGTTACAATTCAGAGCAGGGTTTGTGGCCCTGAAATTGCATTTGGAGTCTGATGTTAAGAGGAAAGTTGTAAAATAGTGTCTGTTTTGTATAATCACTTTCATAAATTCTCTGTTTCTCTGATACTAACCAATTTATAATTTTTGCCCAATCAGTCCCCTGTCCTGTAGGTTAAAATTATCACATGATTATATACATCTTTGTCAGCAATATGGCCAACAAGAAAAAGTCATAAAATTGTTTGGATTTTGGTATGTTATAAATTAATCATTTTCATAAATACTCTGTTTTTCTTTAATTTTTATTTGACCAACTGAATTTGTTTATTGAATGGGGGTAAGATTGTTGGTGAGTAGGCATGCCACCAACAAGACAGAACTCAGGACTCAAAACTCTGAATTCAGGGGAAATCCAAAACAGCAACTCAGGTTGTAACCTCCAGAATTGGAGAATTTTCAATCAGGTGCAGATGCAAACTTTATTTTAGAGAGAAGCATAACACAAAGTAATCATCACACAAATGCTGGTCCTCATCAGTGATCAATGCCCATATGATGACAGCCAAGCCTGGTCTGAGGGGAAGATAAGGGAATGTTTTGTTCAAAGCCTTCCAACATGTGTGAAACCTCCCTGTGGAAAAAAAATTCCATGGTTATGAGGTGTGTGAAAGCACCGTATTGCATGTTTGTGATAGGAAAATTTAATTAAATCTGACACCTGTGATCAATATCAGATTTATTATTCATAAGGAACCATAATTGTAATCAGGAAAAATTATTTATTATTGTGAACCCCACAGATCTGGGTAGACACACATTATTAAAGCTTCATTTATGCATGGCCTTGGTATTATCATTACTTGGGTGATACAATTGTTTGTTATGTCAATTATAACTTCAAATGTATTGAATAATAATCATGACCATCATGAATATTTGATGGATGGAAGCATTCACATACAAGGAAATGAAGGAAATGATTAAATAGCTAAGTCATGTTTGTTTTATTAAAGATGTATGATTAATTGTATTTAAAATATACAATAAAAAAATTGCAAGACTGCACCACTATGTCAATCAAGCCATCAAGCTGTTATGTTTGTGCATGATTTAAAATTCTTTTGTGGCCCCATCTTTCTTTGCTTATATATAATCTATTGGTTCTCTTTTTACTGGTCAAATGATGCCAAATTGGGTAATGGGGTATCAGCAAATATCATAATCTGATTATTCTTTAAAAAAATAATTAAGGTATTAGCATACTGATAAGTTAATAATATTTTTATCATATAGTCCAATAGCCTACAGTAAATATTGAAATTGCCAATATTTATCAGATATTCTTTTAAAATTAATCCTTTTTTTAGTTAATTATTGGCTTAGTTTAATAACCAATGGCTCTTTATATTGTAATTAAGTTATTGGTTAAATATTTCTAAAGCTCTTTGTACTAAAATAATATCATATCTTAAGTAGCAGTTAGGGTTTTCTATTCAAATGTTTATTTGGATAAAACAAATAATTCGAGTAATAATAATTCGAATAAAATGAATAAAAGCGAATAAAAGCGAATAAAAGTGAATAAAAGGAATAAAATGAATAAAACAAATAAAAGCAAATAAACGAATAAAACAAATAAAACAAATAAAATGAATAACAATTCAAATAAAAGCATATAAAGCATATGAAGCAAAACTTGTATTATGAATAGAAATTGTGCATTAATACTAAAATCAAAAAACAACAATAAATAAACAAACAAATAGCTTTTATTATGAAATAATTAATTTTGTTCCTTTGGTGTTAATGATTGAATTGATCACACAAGCAGTAGTCAATTTAAACAGCATTGTTTTTAAAGAAATATTTATTTAAATGTATAAAGTTTAATTATTTTTAGAAAATATCTAAACATACCCGGTGGGTATAATACCTGGATCATGTGTTTGTGCAACTTAACATAAAAAAAACTTTTTTTCATATTTATACATGACATAAAAAAAAATAAACTTTATTCTTTATAATTTCACCTTCAACAACAAAAATGTCACAAAATTTACACTCATTTGATTTTACTGATAAGTTGAATCTGGAAGAAGGACTTACTTTCGTTTTGTGGGAACAGGCAAAATTATTTTTTGATAATTTTGCATTACAAGAGGGTTTTAGTTATAGGATTAGACAAAGCGAATCTGAAGATGGTATTGTAACAAGGTAAACATATGAATGTACAAAATCAAGCAAACACAATCCACAAATTACAACAGATCCTACAAAACATCATAATTTCAATTCTCAAAAAACAGAATGTCCATGGCATA